ACGGGACTTCTGGTCCTGCTCCCAGGCCCTCTCTGGCCCCCTCCTGGTGTCCTGTCCTTGCTCAGGCCGCTCTCCTTGTCCCTTTATGGCTTGGTAGTGTCTTTCCTTCCTTTGAAGACTCACTGCAGAGCTGTGAGAATGACCTTGGAAGCCCGTCCCTCTGCCTTGTCCTGCCTGAGCTCAGAGCCTCTAGGTCATCAAGCCACGGCCTGGTTCTGTCCTGGTAAAGGCCGGCCGAGCTGTGCCTTCTGCCCCTCTGTTGCCCCAGGAAGTCACCCGCTCACCGGCTCTTTGCAGGTGTGGCTGGAGCTTGGTGATTGGAACGGAGGCTCACATGCATTTTCTTCACCGCACACGCCCTCGCTGCCCCTCACGGCCCCCCCCTTTCCGTGTATTCTTTCCTTCCTTGTATTTTGCAGTGGTTTTATGATGGTTCTACCTCCTGGTAAGACGTTGCAGCTGGCTGGTCTTAATGAGCGCTGTGCAGTCCCGGCCCTCCTGCGGCTTCCTGCCCTAGTTCAAGTTCGTCCCTGTGACTCGGGGAGCAGTGGGAAGCAGGAGACGCAGTCCTCAGCAGCAGCTCCCTGCACTTCTTGCTAAGTGGATCATGACATTTGCAAGCTGGGGAGGGAGAAGGAGGCTGGGTAGGAGTGAGTTCTCTGTTTTCTGCAGTGACCTTCTTGTTCAGGTGCATAAAACAATTTAACCCTATATATATATATATTGCAATTGGGACTCCTCTGCCTTCTATGGAAGGTAGCGGGTCTGGGAGAGGCTCAGGTTGTCTTGGGGAGCACCGGATTTGGTGAGGGTGGTGTCCTCTGACCCGCTGGGCTTGCGCAGGCCTCCCTTATCAGACAGGTCTTCTGTGGGGACTGGGCCCCGTGGGAATGGGCCGTCGGTGGAGAATGCTGAGACCCTGACTCTTGGCAAGTGGCAGTTGGGGCAGTGTATGGCTTTTAGCAGTCGTCATTCGCATTAAAATTCCTGAAGGCCTTTTCCCCTAATTTCCCAGACCAACGTGCCATCCAGAGAAGACCCACGGTGTGTGCCTGAGGCAGCTTCCAATCCAGAGCTTCTCAGTCCCTTCTCCTCCTGCTCCTCCTCGTAGGAGCCAACCCACAAGAGCTTTTAGATCTCGTGTCTCCCCGGCTGCCCTACTCACAGGGAATGGTAATAGCACAGAGAGACTGTATTTCTGCTTGTGTACTGTGGCCCCAGAAGAGCCACAGGCCATTGCAATACGCGAATATTTGCCCCCTAAGAATCCACTTTGCCCCACATCAGGGCTTCTACGTTCTCTGTTGAGTGTGCACACTCCTGGTCGGAGACCTTTGGCCATCCAACCCCAGCTGTGCCTAGTGGAGGTGACTTGGGGTAAGCAGAGGTCTGGTGTCCATATGTGACTGTGCCTGTCTGAGGCTTGGAGTCACCTGGATCACCTGGAAGATGTCGAATGCCGAGAAAGTGGCCCAATCCTTCCGTGTGTCTTCCCCTTTTTAAAGTATGGATGATTCTTTGGACAAACATCCTGTTCTGCATTCAAGGTAATCTTCACTTCCTCTTAACGAGGGCGGTTATTAGATTCAGAGGCACAGCGATTTACAGCCCTGGGGAGGACGGCCTGTTGCTAACCAGAACAGGCAGCCAGGACACATGGTGCCCTCTCTGCCTCTGCAGGCGGCCAGTGGGGCTCTGTTTAGTGAGGATTTGCTCATCTGAATGGCACCACGGCCGCTCTTGGCTGCTTGACTTCGCTCTGATGCTTACCAGGGAGGCTGAAATTCTGGATCCCTGCCTCCTGCCGAGTGTGAGGGAGAAATTGATTTCCTCGCAGTAGTAGTTCATCGACTGTCCCGCCCCATTTGGTGGCTTAATCTTTCCTTTCCCACTCACTTGCCACGCCTCCCTGATTCATTCCAAAGTTGTATCCGCACTGGGATCTGTTTATGGACCATTTGTTCTGAATTATTGACATCTCGGTGATGACGTCTGCCTGGATTTTGGAGATAGGATTTGAATGACTGTCCTGGGAGGCAGGCGCACTGTGAGAGCGGATTGACTGATGGGCCTGCCTTGTGGCAGACTCCTGTGTGCAGGTGCCCGGGCTGTCTCTGCTGGCCAAGAAAAGGTTGTGATGGGCTCCTGGAGGAGGTGCCCTCTCTAGCAGTTACAAGGGTGCAGAATGCCACCCTGATGATTTACCAAGGCACCAACAGTGCCCTGAAGGCTCAGTTTTGTGTGTGAAGTTAACTAATTCCATCTTTTGGGTGGTACCAGGCATACCACGAAGGATCCAAGAAATGCTGAATTGCAAAGGGAAACCCAGCAAGAGACAGCACATCTTCTCCGCACTGCACAAATACATCCCGAGTGCTGGGTACAGCGTGGACTATACAGAGACGCTGCAGACCCGATCCCTGACCTTGCAGAACTCCCAGTCCAGGTGGGAGACAGATGTGCAGGTCAGGGGATGGGATGTAAGGCGCATGTAGTTAATAGGAGGTGCAGAAGAATGTTTGACCAACTCTGCCTAAAGAGCAGGAAAGGTCAGAAATAAAAAAAAAAAACAAAAAAGGAGAACACAATGTGTCATCTCTGTCCTCGAGCACAGATGGTGCTCCCCAGGTGGACAGACGGGGGAGGGCACCCAGGGGAAAAGGAAGGGTGCAGAAGAGGGAGGGAGGTGGGAGCATGGTGGGGCCTTCCGGGTGCTGGCAAACATGCTCTTATGGCTTGGATGTGAGGTGTACCCAGGAGCTCCTGTATTAATTCGGGACTTGGGAATGACTGGATTATGAGGGCTGTGTGGATCCATCCTAGTTTGAATGGACTTACAGTGTGGTTACTGTAGGCAGGGGGGGTGAGGCCAGAGGAGAGGGTCACTGGGTGGGTCCTGGAAGGTGTGTCTTCCTAGTGTCCCTTTCTCTCCCGCCCCCCTCTGCTTTCTGATCCCACCATGAACTGAGCAGCTGTCCTCTGCTGGGCCCTTCTGCCATGATGTTCTACCTTACCTCGGGCAATGGAGTCTGCCTGAGACCTCTGAAACTGTGGAGTCCCAAATACACTTTCTCTCCTCTAAGTTGTTCTTGTTGGGAATTTTAGTCACAGTGACACAAAAACTAAGTAAAACAGATGCCACTGAAGTTTATAGAGCATGATCGGATTTGCTTTGGGGGAGGTGATCTCAGCACCGTATGGAAGAGAGCTTGAGGTGAGAGTGTGCGGAGAAGGCCATTCCACTGGTCATATGACATTCCTAACTCGGGGTATTGACCCTTAGACTTATTGTCCCTCCATGGTTGTCAGAAAGGGAACCATCTATTGGAATATGAGGCAGATGGGGCAGCCACAGGTAGACAAGAGGTGAGACTTGGTGGTTAAACTTATGTTGGGTGACAAGGTGAAGATGACACTTCTATCAGGTACAGCTGTGGAACTTGAGGTCCAGGGAGGAGCATGTGTGAGGTGTGGCCATGTTAACTGGGAGGTACTGGTTCTGGGTGGGCTTTTTGGTGGAAATACAGTTGTGCATTGGTTAATGGCAGGGATACACTCTGAGATATATATCAGTACCCTGTAGAGTGTACTTACGCAGACCTATAGCTGAGAGCCTGACATGGTGGCCTTGTGCATCTGGACCCGATTAAACTCTCACTTTTAATACGACAGAACAGTTTCATTGACAAATTTGTCACTAATGCTTCTCAATTTGCTTATTTCTATCTTGTTAGTCAGCTTCGCATTGCCATGATCAAAAGACTTGACAAGACCAACTCAGAGGAGGGAACATTTCTGTTGGGCTCACAGTTTCAAAGGTTTGGTCCATGGTCCTCCAATTCCATTGCTCTGGGCCTTAGGTGGGCAGAACATCATGGTGGAGGGGTGAGATAGGCCTTAGGTGGGCAGAACGTCATGGTGGAAGGGTGTGGTGGGCGTTAGGTGGGCAGAACATCATGGGGGAGGGGTGAGGTGGGCCTTAGGTGGGCAGAACGTCATGGTGGAAAGCAGCTCAGCTCATGGCAGCTGGGAAGCAGAGTGACAGAGAGGAGCCAGGGATGAGATGCTGTCTCTGAGGACACTGCCCCAGAGACTCACCTGCTCCAGCCACGCCCCACCCACCTACAGGTACCACCTGGTTGTCTGCACCAGTTGTTAATCCATCAAGTGTCAGTCTATCCACCAGCGAGGCTACAGCTCTCATAATCCCATCCTCTCACCTTGGAACATTCCTGCATTGCCTAACGCAGGTGCTTTGGCAGGACACGTTTGGCAAGAGCCAAACAACAACTATCGGCTACTGTACAATAGGCTATAGGGTGTGTGTGTGTGTGTGTGTGTGTGTGTGTGTATGCGTGGGCACATGTGAATTACAGCCTGCTGCTTCTAAGGCCATGACACAAAAAAACAATGTGAAATTAATCCAATCACGAGAGAAAAAAACGATACGAGCAGGAGGTGTGAACAAGAGGTGTGAGGCTGCTTCTGCACAAGCGGCCCCCTGCTCTTCACTCTCAAGTAAGGGAAAGGGGTGGACAGTCCACACACACCAGAGCACTTACCTGTTACTGCTATCAAGCAGTATGTGCTGGACGTGGGCATGACTGGCAGTGCAGTGCACCGTGTGTCTGCACCAGCGTCTGCAGAGATGTGCTGATGGTGCATTGGGCTGGGACACTGCAAGGATGGCTGTGTCACCAGGCGATAAGAACTTTTCACTTCCTTGATAATCCCTTGTGTGTGCCTCGCTGACCAACGCAATGTTCGGGGGCACGTGACTGCACTAGGGTTAGGAACGTGGGTAGTAGATATGCCAGCAATGCTGGTTTCTCCTGGTACTGGGGTGTTGTAAGGACGTTGGACAATTTCTAGCAGTGCCTCCAGCTCTTGTTCACTTCCTGAGGTCAGGCCAAGGCGAAGAGGGTAGAGGTGTTTACTGCTGGGTGCAGGAGGTCAAGTTCAGCCACTTTTCCACTTACAGCCATGTCTCTTTCTTTCAGGAGATGGCCAGGTGGATTTTGATGAATTCATGACAATTCTTGGGCCCAAACTGGTGTCTTCAGAAGGTCGTGATGGTTTTCTTGGAAACACAATAGACAGCATATTCTGGCAGGTAAGAACATTTTTTTAAAGGTTAAATTTGACAGAAATGTGTGTCTGGAACTGACTTAGTCTGAGTTCTTGAGCTTCTGTGCAGCACACGAGCTCTCTTCTGAGCAGGGGGCGACGTGCCTCAGTTAAGGTCCATGCTGTGTCCTCTGATGGAGGAATGGGAACTCCACTCATTTGAGGTTCAGAGGGGTAGGACATCTCCCCTCTTGATAGCAAGACTTTTGCCTTGGGGAGAAAGGAGATTCCTCCACTTCAGATTCTTTTTCCTGGAGACATTTAAAAAGATACCTTGATCTCTGACCCAGTTCTGTCCTTGACCCTGGTTCTAGGAGGTCCTTGCTGAGAGCCTGGCGTGGTGGCCTCGTGCATCTGGACCCTATCACACTCTCACTCTTAATATGACAGAACAGTTTCATTGACAATTTTGTCGCTGATGCTTCTCAATTCGTTTATTTCTATCTTGTAAAATCGCTTAGGAGACTCCTCATATCTACATTCTAATTAGAGTTCTACGAAATGATTTTCACATTAGTTCTCTAATTTTGAAATGTAAATATTATTTTGTGAAATTTGGGAAATGGTTTGTCATCATTATTTTAATAATTTGAGTCAAATAAATTGTCAAGTTAAATTGAATTACTGGTTAGGCACGTAAAACACTGTGCAAACACAGTACGGTTTCTTTAATTTCTTGATATGACTTTCCCTCTGCACCAGGGCTATGTCTGTGACCTAGTAAGGGTTCCAGGTGACAAGTCTCTCTTGTCTTATTCTGTCACTCAACTTGCATTTAACCAACAAGTATTGACTAAGAGCTTGTTGTAAACCCTGAAGGCTCATCGGTCATTGTGAGTTTTACAAAAAGCATTCAAGACCAAGTCCTGGCCATTTAAGAGTTTGGCGGAAGGAATGCAATTCAGAGAGAAAACAAGGGAGTGGTGAGTGGGTGTGGTGGTCACCAGACTGTACTGTCCTTGAAGCCAGGACTTCACGTCAGAGCCCCTTGGCCTGGCCCATGGCCCACAGGGGCCCTCAGTGGTGGAGTGAACAGAGGTCCCCGAAGGCAGGGAGGCATGGTCTTGGGGGCACAGAGGAGGTTTGCAAAATGGCGGCACTTGCTTTGTTCCTTGACGTACCAGGAAGCTCTCGGGAACCCCACTTGCCAGATGGAGAGAAGCATGGGTGACGGCAGGTACGGTTGCAGGCCTGCTCCCTGAGTGTCAGAAGGGGGGTGCAGTGAGGATGGGGTGATTTAGGCCCTGTGGGCAGAATGGACAGGGGCCTGAGGGGAGCCAAAGGGGGACGCTGCCACAAATCTCCCAACTCACTCTTACAAACAGGGCCACAGACACGCCTTCGCAGAGGAGGATTTTAGATTGGACATGCAGAGTAGGAGGGGTGGACAGCCCTTAGGGTCTGGAGCATCAGGAGGCTGTGCTGGAGACCCAGAGGTGGGATTCCTGAGAGCCGCTGGGTGAGCTCTCCAAGGGAAGCCAAGTGGCAGGGGACAAGCAGAGACAAGGCCAGGTCCCGGAGGAGGTCCTGCGGCAGCAGGGGCACAGCGCTGGCGCACACTGATGTTGGGTTCTCACTGGGGTCAGGAATCTCCCTGGGACCCCACTCCATGTGACAAGAGTATTCCTCTGCTCCCGTAGCCCTCCAGTTATGCCGTGACGGTTGGAAAGACAGACAGAACTGGAAGGGAGCACAGAGAGATGATGGAGACCTCGCTCCCCTGGCCGTCTCCCAGCCCAGGCGGGTCCACAACTCAAGGGCACCTTCCCTTCCTGATGTCCCTCTCTGTTCGCCCCCAGTGCTTCCTACCGTGGCCACCCCCAGGGCCACTCTGATCTACAAGAATGCTCCAAGGCCCTGAGTGCTCGTCCTGGCTGCACACTGAGAGAAAGGAGCCCTAACCTTCCCCCTCACATGGCTCACTTTTTGCTCACTTCTTCCAGGGTCTCCACGGAGTGCCCCCAGGGCAAGCGTCCCTCTCACACTGTGCTGATGGCCTCTGGCATGACTGGGACACATTAATGTGCTCATAGACACTCCGTGTATCCATTTTACCAAAGACCCTTGTCCTGGCCCAGGGTGGCAAGATGGGGCGTGGGAAAGAGCAGAGGAAGACATTCCACTCTGAACACGGCAGTGAGGCCAGAGAGGCTGCACAGAGCTGCTCTCTCCCGCTGTGCTCACAGGCTCAGAGCTTACGGCTCAGCAAGCAGGAGCAGGAGCGGCTCTCAGTCCTCAGTGCTCAGCCTCCCCTGCCTCCCCTGCCGCATGCCCACACAGAGGCAGGAAGCAGTTTGCAGAACATCCTGAGCCCCCAGTCTTCCTGGGAGAGGCTCACGCCCCTGGGGCTTGGGGGGTTTCCTGGTTTAAACCAAAGCTGTGGGTGTGTGTGTGCGCGCATGTCTGCACATGTGTGCACCTGCACGGGTGTGCGTCTGCACATGTGTGTGCACCTACACGTGTGCGCCTGCTTTGCCATAGTGGCTGCAGGAAAGGGGAGCAGGGAGAGGAGCAGATGGTCAGCTTTGTGCCCATGGTGCCCAGGCAGGGATGCTGATCAGGAGGAGCTGGTGCTCTAAAAGGTCCATCCTGCGTAGGAGGCTCCACCAGGCTTCCCGCCAGAGACAGGTTGCCATGGAAACAGATACACGTTGCTTACCTGGAAGGGAATATCTGTGGTTTATGGGTGCGTTAATAATACATCACACCAAAGTCTAGAGACAGAGACAACCGTAAAGACTTACTGTGCCACGTGGAATCTGTGGGCCGGGAACTAGAAGGTGCTGTTGCTGGGTGGCTCTGGCTCAGGGGCTCCTCGGAGGGTGCTGTGCAGGTATGGGCTGGTGCTGCAGCCATTGGAAGGTTTGGCTGCTCCTGGAGGATGCACTTGGAGCTGGCTCGCTGGCATGGCTGGCCAAGGGGTGCCAGCTCTTGACAGAGGCTTCCGGTACCCGCAGGGGCCCCTCCACAGTGCTGCCTGCCCATCCCCCTGACCTGGCAGCTTCCCCCAAAGCAGAAGCTGCAGCAACTTTTATGACCTGACTTTGGAAGTTAACTCCGTCATTTCTGCAGTGTCCTTTGGTACACAGGCCCTGCCCGTCCAGGGTGAAGGGCCTGGAGGCAGGAACATTGGGGCCTTGTGGAGACTCTACCAGAGAGGGCTCAGCTCCCGTAACTGGGCTTCTTCAACCCGGTGTTGCTGCCTCAAGCCTTGGTTTGCCCCAGGCTTTGAGGAAGCCTGAGGTCAGGGCTGCTCTCTGGGTCACTGTGGAGTGGCTCTCCTAGGCAGAGGCTCATCTTCCTAATCAAATCTGTTCTGTGCTCTTTCCTTACCAGCATTCTAGCTTTCACTGTCAGGGGTAAAATAAAGTCAAATGAAATCTGCAAAAACAACTATTTATCGCTTAGCGCTAGTCCCGAAATTATGAGCTCCTGGCTCTCTGCAGGAAATTGGCGTCTGTGAAGGTGGAATTTAACTGGCTACAAATACAGCTGCTTCCTAAGGAAGAGGCCCCCGTGATGTGGCACTGAGCACCCAGCACGCAGCCCCCTGGGGGAGGCTCACCGAGTGCCCACACCCAGCTCCAGAGCCTCTGTGACTTTACCGTGTTTGCACTAGCCTCTCGTCGGGTCTCCGTGTCTGCTGGTTCTGCCAGCGGTCCTCTTGGAAGGGGGCTGTGAACTGTTTGAAGTTGGCTGGGTCCTGGTGTGTGGCAATGACAGAGAGGAGGGAAGGAAGAGCCGGGGGCCCACTCGGGTGGGTCTGGCCTTCGGCTTGGTGCTGCAGGTCCACGGTGGTGGCTAAGTGCGGTCCTCGGGGCATTGCTGCTCTGCCATCCCTCTGAGCCACACACCAGAGCCCAGTTAGGTCCCAGAATGAGTCTGAGAGGATGGTGGAGGCCCGAGAGGCCCAGGAGCGAGGCCCCACCGTGTCACACACAGCCTGCGAGGAGCCTTCCTTCTCCCTCGGCCAGGACATCTGCGTGGCCGGGGCCAGGACAAGCTGAGCAGCCTGGGAGGTGAAGCAGTGCAGCCCACAGGGCCTGGTACTCCTGGTAAACTCCTCTCCCTTCCAGGGCAGGGGAGTGGGCCTGGGCCGGCCTGTGTGTGTGCCCTGGCTGGGGCTGCCCTGGGGCCCAGGCAGGGGATACCCTGAGGCCCAGGCAGGGGGTTCCCTGAGGCCCAGGCAAGGGAACCTCTGGGGCCCAGGCAGGGGAGCCTCTGTGGGAGGGTGGTCCAGGTTCCTGCTCTCATGGCCCCAGTCAGCCACCTCACCAGCGTTTGCTGGTGTCGGGTTTCTGTTTTGAGAAATGAAACACATGCAGTGTCAGCAGACAGAGCTGCCTCTGGACTGCCCAGGGGGTGGGAATGCGTGAGGGGGACAGGACGTCCAGGGTGCCTGGTGTGTTTAGGCAATGCTCTGCAGAGCTCCTGGGGCCAGGGAGCGGAATGCAAGCTCGTCATTGCCACAGAGGGATGTGCGCGGTCACCACCCAGCCTTGGTCCAGGTCTAGGCCGTTTGTCCATCACCTTGCTAAGGCCCTGGTGATCCTCCCTCAGGCTCCGCAGCCTCCTCCGTGGGAGATGCACAGGTGAGGCAAACACCTGCCAGTGCTCCCCCCACTTGGCCTCCTCCCCACCCAAGTCTGGCCCTTGCCTGCCTCCCGCCCCCCTGGTCATCTTCCTCTGGTTTGGTCCCGACTGAGTCCTCCCCAGCCCAAGGCCATCATCCACCTGGGGCGCTGGCAAGCTGGCTCTGCTGTCATGCTGAGGCAGGCAGAGAGCATCCTGGCCTTGTGACTCGGCAGCTCACGGTGGGTGCTCTGTGCCCCATGGTCGTGATATGGGAGAGGGCACCCATATCGCGGCAGGCTCAGGGGATCCCAGATCCGTGGTGCCTTTAAAGACTGGGAGGAAAGACAGCAAGATGCGGGGTGACTCCGTGGTGGGAAGACGGGCAGCGGATCCCCGTATTTTCTAAATACCAACAGTGGGCATATGTCCCTCCTTCATTAGGAAGAGAAGGGAGTCGCTGGTGAGCCAGGTGTCTGAGAATCCCTTCACCTGTGAGGTGGACCACCCGGCCCCGCGGCCAACGCTGGCAAACCTCGCAGGGAAAAGCCAACGGAAGTGTTTGATCACTTGCTCATGTGACACCCTGGAGCCAGGGCCCAGACCTAGGAAATACCTTTGTCAGTGTCAGGACAGCTGGCAGGCTGGTGGCAGGTCTCTGCACACGTCTCCCCTGGCACCCGCAGGGTGGCTCCCCCAGTATTGTCAGTGTGCCACTCTCTGGAGTAGTGGGTCCCAGCTGCTATTCTCCCTGGCGCCATCCTGGGGGGACCTAAACCGTGTTCAGCGGTGACGCCTATCACGGGTCTGCTGGGCGGACCGCGCTCCGAATCCCCGAGTGATTGTACTGAGTGTGCGATGGAGAAGGGGAGGCGTCCGGTCAGGAGCAGCTCCCCAGTGTGTTCCTGGACTGTCCTCAGACCCACTGCACCAGGCGCCCTGCCAGCTGGTTTCCATGGCCCCCAGGTGACTGCCACTCACACCCAGGTGAGAACCACTGAGATACCAGACTTGAAGGAGCCTGAGGTGTGGGGAGGGCAGTAAGCCAGGTTCACAGCCATGAGGGGGACCTCATTGCCCTCTGTGATGCAGACCTCGGTTCCCCTGTGACGAAGACCTCGGTTCCCCTCTGGGTTTGGTATTTGGGGTTTTCTGTTGTCCACAGCCATGAGTATAACTGGTTTTACTCCATGTGACACTGCAGTTTCAAACGATTTTTTTAAGGTAAAAGAGGTTTTGTGTCAGCAGGTGGTTAATTTCTAAGCAGGAAGGGCTAGGATGGGGATGAGAACTGGCCCCTTCACTGGGCCCTGCCCTCCAGGCCACGCATAGCAGCCAAGCTTTGGTGGTTGCAAGAAGCCCTGCGGCCAGTTAACCCAGGCAGCTGCGGCCGGCTGGGCGACCAGGCTACCACCAATGGTGTCGCCGTCTGCGGGTCACCTCTGTCAGCACCGTCGGATCAGCAGTTACCTCCATTGGCTGGAGGCTACAGATCCTGATTCATGAGTTCATAAATCTTTGCTCCAATAAACTCTGCTACGTTTGATTGATCCAAGGAATTAACTAGCAGAGATGACTTCCTGAGCATGAAAGCCGAGAGAGGATCATAAATAAAACTCTTCACTGAAAATTATACAATGTTCTGAAAGCTACTTGGTGATACTTAGCCACACCTGTTGCCTGTTTAAATCCTACAGTGAAAATCAATGCCATGTCCAGGAATCTGAGAGATCCAGAAAAACAGCCCTAAAGGTGGGATACTGTATGATTATTTAAAATAATATTCTCATGTTATAGTCGGTGGAAGAGGCCAACATAGAGGTTGGATTTGTAGTGTAATTGCCTGGCCGTTTGTGGTGGTGGTGGTGGGGGACTTGGACCAGGAAGCAGACTCAGGTCCCCACAGGTAGAGGAAGATGAAGATGCAGTTAGGGTAGCAGACAAGCTGAGGAGGCTCGAGCCTCAGCTCCAGCCTCCACAGTTCATTTAGCCTCTTTTTACTTACAGTCTGAACCAGAAGGCACCCTACCCCCAGGGTCATCAGTTTGACGCTTGTTTACAGGCACTATTCAGGACTTCAGGTTCCTACCCAGAATCCCAGTGTGTGTGACCTTGGTTACACACTACCTAGGACTCACAGCCCTGGCTATACCCTAAAAACAAACCCTAAAACACACAACGTAGCCCACGGGAAGCCTGGGCCTGGGGCCTGGCTGTGGCATTCTGGGCCTGCGGCTCCGTGTCTGTCACTGTTCCTGTGTGTCCATCTGTTGTACTTCACTTTACAGTCACTTGTCTTCACCTATCCTGTACCTGTTATGTTCACCGAGAGGAAAACTGGATGGAGTAGAGAGCAACTGTTATTGACTGGAATCGAGGTCACTGTCATTGTTTCTTTGCATACTTGGGACTTTCTGAAAGTTCTCCACATAGGCTGTAGGGTGGGTCCTGTTATCATTCAATAAAGTCAACAAAATCTCAAGTTAACGAATCTCATTAAAATACATCTGTTTTCAAGAGTGGAATGAAAGAGTGATTGGAGCCAAAGGGTCTCTAAAACCGGTACCCACTGCTACACAAACAGGCACAAAGTCCATGTGAGGGTGTGAAAGCAGGGTGTCAAGGTCAAGTGCAGCCAGCAGCAGCCAGGAGGAAGCTGGCACCTGGGGCTTCCTGTCACCTTCTCCTGGGGAGACCAGCGGTCAGAGGCCTGGCTGCAGGGCTCCGTGCTCCTCCCCACGTCCAGGTAACCCACGTTACAGTAGAAACTAAGGCGAAGGTAATGTTGAAAATCTCTCTGAAGTAAATTCAAAACCCACAGCTAGGCGGAGCCGACCAGCAGCCTCAGGCTGAGAGACAAAAAGAATCCCCGCGGGGCTGGCAGGAGGGTCCCGCACTAGGGGCTCAATCCTTCTTATTAAATTTATTTGATCACTTATTTTTGTGGTGCTGGGGAGTGGACCCAGGGCCCTGCCTCTGATGCCCAAGGTTCTCCCGTGGCCCTGCAGCCCCAGCGGAGATGAATTCTCACGGCCAACAGGAGCCTCCTGGGGGTTATTCAAAGCTATTTTCTTTTACTCAGTCCACTTGTCCTCTGGCGTCCAGTGTGTAGGGGTAACGAGGACACTGTATGCACTTGGGAGGTCTCGTGGAGAGGAGAGAGGGAAAGGAACCCTTCCCTCAGGGCCTGCGTCTTGGCCCTGAAGAGGGGGAGGGGGTCTAAAGGTACCAGCAGGAGCAGAAGGCTGGCATGGCGCTGGTGGGGACCTCTGGGCAGGCTGACCGGCTCAGGTAAACGGGGCCTGCTGTGCTTCAGGGTGGTGCTCCTGGTGCACCCTTGACCACGGACGGCTCTGGGGATCTTGATGCCCTAAGACAGTTCTGAGGTTCCCAGGCTCAGCCAGGGAGACACAGGGAGATGCCACAGCCATGTCCCTGCCCTGTCTCAGCCAGGTGCCAGGCTGCGGCCCACACTGTCCTTAGGGGCCATGTGGGTCTACTTTTCCTACTTTTGCTGTGGTGAATAGGATTTGATTTTTCAAGGTGTATTTCCATCTCCTCCTGCCCGTCCAGCTGAAGGCAGGTCTGCTGGTTCCTGAACTCTCTCATTAGCAGCGTCTTGTCTGTTCAGCTGCTATAATAACCCCAGGACTGGACGGCATGGAAACAAAAAGCATTTTTTCTTCAAGGTTCCGGAAGCTGGATGCATGACCGGGTTCTGGCGAGGGCCTCCTGGGTGGTAGGCAACCAGCTTCCCCGTGTAACCTTGCGTGGTCAGAAGGGCAAGAGGGAAGTCTGGGGTCCCTCGTGGACCACTAATGTCATTCCTGTGGGTCCAGCCTATGACCTCTTTGCCTCTGAAAGACTCCCTGCTCCAGGCACGATCACGTTGGTGCTTGAACCCTTCAGTATATGAATTTCGGGGAACAGAACAGCAGTGCTAGATTTTTCCATTAATTTTCTTACCTTATCTTGTCTGCAAGACTTTGACTCCAAATAGTAGCGACTTTGTGGCAATGTATCTCTTAGATCCATTTGTACTCACTGGGAACAGAGTCATCCTAAAACCTCTAGAGGTGATGGGTGTTTCAGGACATTAACCTCTAACCCAAAGATTTTTAACGTCATGAATGTCTGTCAAGTGTCTTTTGACTGTAATACTAGGATTACGGGTGGTTCCTGCTTTGAATTACTGATACGAGGTGGTAGTTAATGAATTTCCTAATATTAAATAACTTCTGTTCCTAAGACTAATATTTGTTGTTGTGGAAGGTCATTTTCTTAATGTAATTTGAATTTATAATGCAATTTTAAAATTTGATTTATGATTAATTTTGATTTTTTAATCCATATTTATAAATAAAAGGAGACTATAGTTTATAGAAATTCTGTGTCATTGCTAGGTCTGGAAACATCGTTATACCAGTGTGAGAAAATTAATCTACTAACTGTCATCTTTTGTGACCTGCAGTAATCTCTATTTAGTATAGAATGTACTCGAGACTTTGAATTGGAGTGAGCCAGTTCATAACCTGTCAGTCCAGTGGTAGAGCGGTTCTTGTTTTTGGGGGTAATTGTTTGATAAACATTAAAAGTTAATTGTGCTTCAGTCTATTTTGAAAATTTACCTTACCCTCAGGAAGTTCCCGGGTCCTCAGAATCACCTCTTTATTAGCAGTTACTTGCAAATATGTGGCTTGGAAACTAGTTGGCAAGCATTCTCTTTCCATTATAGCTTCTCCCATTGTAACTGTTGTTTTTCTCATTTCTATTAATCTGACGGGCCAGATGGTGCTCTATTTTAGTAACATTTGGGAGAAAATATACTCTTCTATTGAATGAAAAGCTCTTCTTATTTCCTGTTCTCTGCTCTAGTATTTTCCCTTGGTCTGCGCTAACACTTCCCCTCCTCTTGTGATGAGGGACAGTTTTGTGACACTGGCTCTTTGGTCTTTATTAGCTAAGGGATTCGGATGTGAACCCTCTTCTCAGTGCAGCCTTTCCCTGTCCTGAGGTCTTGTTGACTGCTGTTGTCACTTGTCACATGGCCTATGATTGTGCTTAGTCTCTTTCTTTTCCGTAGCTACTCGGGAGAACATCACTGAACATTTTGGTTCAACGTGCTGTTAATTTCTTGCCTTTGCGTTGTGATCCGAGGATGCTGGCGGGTGATGTCTTTGTGCCGATTGTGTCCATTCGCATTCAGCTGCAGCAGAATGATGCTGGGGTTGGACGACTGGCCTCCCAGTTCAGGAAGCAGAATGAGTGACGAGCCCTCTTCCGGAATGATGCTGTGGGAACCCTGTGTGTCCCTCTTTATTCTGCGTCTGCTCACACTCTCTGAGACAGGTGGTGTGAAACCGGCCTCAGTTGCTCCTCCTTCCTCTTTGTGTCTCTGTGTGTATGCGACACTGTCACTCCGTGTCTTTGGTGGAATGACCAACCCCTTCGACAGAAGCCTACTCAGGTCTCTGGGTTGGATGGAGTGTGGTATCATGGTGGCCAGGTGACAGGGACCTTGCTCTTGGGGATTTGTATTCTGGTGTGAGGCGTGGGAGAGAGAGGGAGGCCTTAAACTAACAGATAATAAATAACTTCAGATCATGTGAATTCCATGAGTTCATCCAGCAGGATAATCAATAGAGGGCAGTCCCCATGGGAACTACACAGCTTGGAACAGTTGTGACGAGCAGGGTTCTCTGAGGAGGTGACCCCTGGCTGTGGTCTGAATGCTACATGCAGTTCAGAAATGGAAGGAGGTGGTTAGGTCCTGGAGTGGACCCTCCTGAGGGGACTCAGGGCTCTTGTGGAAGAGTGAGGTACCGAGTGCCCTTCTGCCATGTGACAATACAGCGAGAAGGACTATCCTCGAGGAAGCAGACCTTCCTGGCCACAGCTTGTGCTGGCACCTTAATCATGGATTCACAGCCCCCAGACTGTAAGAATAAGTTTCTGTTGTTTAAAAGCTACCCAGCCTGCAGCATTTTGTTATAGCATCACAAAGAGACCAGGACACCCCTAAATCATGAGAATGTTCTAGTTGTACAAGGCATTTGTTTCTACTAGTGGGTTCTTATCCATCCTTTTCCTTTATAATAGCCTGCTTTTTAAGGTCTCTCTCTCTCTCTCTCTTTATAAGAATCATAGCATCAAAAGACTAACAGTAAACTAAGACGAATGGGGGGAGAGAAAGGTAGAGAGAAGGGAAAGCATATGGAAATGGTAGGAGACCTTCAGTGATACACAAAATTATAAGAGGTTATGAGGGGCAAGGGGGTGGGGGGAAAAAAGGGGAGAGAATTGAACAACAGCAGAGGAGGTAGAGAGGGAAGATGGGAGGGGAGGGGAGGGGAGGGGGGATAGTAGGGGATAGGAAAGGTAGCAGAATACAACAGTCACTAATATGCCATTATGTAAAAATGTGAGTAGGTAACAGAAGTGAGTCTGCAATATGTATTTGGGGAGTTCAAAACCCAATTGAGTCAAATGTATGAAAGATGATATATCATGAGCTCTGTAATGTTTTGAACAATCAATAAAAAAAATGGAAAAAAAAAGAATCATAGCATAAGATTTATCTTATAAGCCACTCTGAGAGAATCTGCCCTTTAATAGAGTAGTTTAATCTGTTGCTAATCATTTTATATCTGCTTATCCACACTCCATTGGTCCTATATTAGTATTTCTGGTTTAAAGCCATTTTTTTTGTTTTCTGTCTTTTGCTATATTGTTTCATATATTTATCCTTTAAATTTATTAGAAAGATAGCCTTTCTTATTCTAAACCATTTTGCTACTGATTGCCTTCACCTTTATGAAATATGTATTTAAAATTATGTTTGTCTAAATAGCAAATCCAAGGAATCAATATCTTCCGACTTCCTAAAAGAAATTTTAGCTTTTCCGTACCGTCTCTGTTCATTTCCCAGTGTCCGGCATGTGTTCTGTTTGTTTTTATGAATGTATTGGAATGGCTGCAGATTCACCTGCAGCCATAAGCAACCATCTGGGGAGACCCCACATACCCATCACCCACGTTCCTCTCCTTTGCCTTTTGCAAACCCCCAGTTTAGATCAGGTGTCCCGTCTCTGAAATGCTTGGGACCAGACATGTGTTGGATTTCATAGTTTTTTTTCAGATTTTAGAATATTTACAAATACATACTCGATACCCTGGGGACAGACCAGCTCTGCACACCAAGCTCACCTGCGCTGAGTGCACACCTTCCCCGTCAGGCCGAAGGTGAGCTCCCGCAGTATTCCCCTTCCGCCTGCCGTTTACCGCCTGCCTTGTTCACTTTCCTGCTTGTGGCATCCTGAGGGAGCTTGAGAATTTCAGATGTTGGGGCTTTTGGGTTTTGGGTCTTGAGATTAGCATACTTGATTTGTATGAAACCTTAACAGGGATTATTTTGTTTTGTTTGGGGCGATGGGTGTCAACCCCAGGCCTCACAGGTGTGAGGCTGTCCCACTGATCTGCACCCCCAGCCCCACTTCCTATTTTATCTTGAGACGGGGTCAAGTTGCCCAGGCTGCCCTGGAGCTTGCGAGCCTCCTGCCTCAGCCTCCTGCCTCAGCCTCCTAAACCGCTGAGATCACTGTGTGTGCCACTGAGCCTGGCTGACGCACGCCACCAGTCCTCTCCTGATGTCCCCTGACCTGTGTGTACACACCTGTGTGTTTCCTCCGCACGTTTTGTCCCATGTGTGGGCCTCTGTCACTATCACCCCAAAGTTCTGCCGGTCACCCTTTACGGACTCCCTCCCTCCCACCCCAGCCCCACTTCTGCCAACCACTGGTCTGTCTTCCATTTCTCAAACTTGGCCATTTCCAACATTTTACATAAATGAACTCACACGGGGGTCACCACATCACAACGCACTGGAGATGTGTTTGAGTGCTGCTGATGTGGGAGGCCTCCTGCCTGCTCTGGCTTCCGCCTCCTGCTTGGAAGGTGCCCGTGCCCACCTCCAGGGTGGCTTCCCTTTCCATCCTCTTCCCGTGGGTTTTGGCAGAGAAAGTTTTTCATTTTGATTGGGTTCAATTTATTAAATTTTCCTACTATGGATTATAGTTTTGGTGTCAAGTCTGAAGCCCTAGATCCCAAAGGTTTTCTTCTTTCTTTTTTTCATTTCTAAAGATTGCATAGTTTTACCCTTGACGTTAAAATCCATGATCAGCATGGAGTTACCTGTTTGATGAGCTTCGGGGTCTGGGCTCTTGTTTCCCCCTGTGATTACATGGGTCCACCTCTGGGATCTCTTCTCAGCCAATGTGAGTTGCTGAGAGTTTTTTTTTTTTTTAATTGCTAATGGGTGTTAGATCTTGGCAAATGCTTTTTTCTGAACCAGTTGATAGGATCATATGGTTTTTCGTCTTTGATTTGTGGATATGATGGATTGCATCTGTTGATTGATTGTTTTGGGGTTTGTTTTGGACTTTACTGTGTTTCTTTTGTGCAGTGCTAGGGGTGCAACCCGGGCCTGAGTCTTGCTGTGATGAGCATCCCCCCTCACTGCCCCCAGCCCCTCACTGCCTGGGACTTAACCAGCCCTGCTTGCTGAATCGAGCATGGCTTGGTCATGGTGTCTGATTCTTTTTGTTTATTGATGGATTTATTCTGTGAGTATTCTGTCAGGATTCTTACATCCAAATTCATAAGAGATGTGGTCTCTAATTTCTTTTTCTTTTCTTTTTTGCATTATCTGTCTGTTTTCATTATCGGGTCTCACAAAATAAATTAGGAGGGATTCCTATTTCTCCTATTTTATGAGAAAGATTGTCTAAAATTGTGCATCAGAGAAATTATACCAAGCTGGTGTTAATTCATATTTAAGTGGTAGAATTCCCCTCTGAACTATCTGGGCCTGGAGATTTCCTTTAGGTTTTAGGAGCCTTTAAATGATTAATTTAATTCTTTAGTGATTATGGGAGTATTCCGATTGTGCCTTTTGTCTGTTTTGGCATCTGCAGCCCCTCCCAGGAACTAGCTTTGATGGCCCAGGAACCAATTCTGCTGAGTCGCTGGATTTCTGAATGTAGGATCCTCTGCAGCTTCCCCTTATTACCTTCCTGGTGGCTGGGGTCCACAGGGACCTCCCTGTTCCCCTCCTGGCCTTGGAGATCTGTCCTCTCCTGACTGCTGATGCTTTTATTAGACGTCTGTTGGTTTCCTTTTTCCATAGGAGCTGGTTTTCTCTCATTGCCTTTCCCTGTCATCTCCTACCTCCTGTCTCCTTGTTTCCTGCTCTCTGTTGGTTCTTTCCTCCGCCGGCTTAGGGTTCTTATCTCCCGCCCTCCTCTGGTTCCTGGAGACTTGGATATCAGTTGGTGCTGTATTTCCACTTTGGTTCTATTCTCTGTGGACTGAGGTTTTTCCTGTGAACCGTGGGTTCAAAGGGCAGGTTGTCTCCCTGTACCCAGCCACCTCCCGGGTGTCTCCCACTGTGGCTTCTCAGGAGACTCCACTATGGTCAGAGGACACACTCTGCCATTTCAAAGGACATCTGCAGCTGGTTTTCCAGGGTGGCCTGTCTTGGTGAGTTTCCCACAGGCGTCTAAATCACGCACATTCCGTGGCTGCTGGGAGGGGGTGCATGTGTCGGAAGCCTGTGGACTAGGCTTTGAGGCCCTAGGCCTTGCTGACTCTCTGCTAGTCCTGTCCTTTGCTGGATGGAGGGGGTTAAAGTTCTCAACCATAACTGAAAGTTCCTCTGCTGTCCCGCTAACTCTGTCCTTTGTGGTTTCACGTATATTTTTGGCCAGTCCACACTTAAGGTCACCGGTGGTCTTTCTGGTGGATGGATCCTTTTTATCATTGCATAATCTCTCTCTTCACGTCTAATAATTTTCTTTGTTTCAAAGTCTGCTTTATTGGTTATTAATATGGCCACTGCCGCTTTTTAAAGTTGATATCTGTGCTGGGTGCGGTGGCCACACCTGTAATCCCAGCAGCTCAGGAGGCTGAGGCAGGAGGATCATGAGTTCAGCACTAGTCTCAGCAACTGAAAGAGGCCCTGTCTCAAAATAAAACATATACCCAAAGGGCTGGGGATGTGGCTCAGTGGCTAAGCGTCCCTGGGTTCAATCCCTGGTACCTCCCTGCCCTCCCAAGCACCCCTGCCCCCAAACCAAAATGCTACCTGGAGGGCATGTCGTCCCCTATCCCACCTGTGCTGTGGAATTTGACGTGAGTCTCCTCTCAACAGCGTGTACTTGCTGCTTTCTGCCGATACCTGCCTACTTAGTTCATTTGTGTTTACGCTAATTCTTTGGGGCAGTTTTCCTGCCGGCTTTCAGCTTGGCCCCTCTGGGTCCTGTTCTCTTGTTTCCTTGTGACCTGAGTGGGCGTCAGGATCGGGGGTGCACTAGATCTGTCTGTGGGCAGTTTATGGAGAGGCTGCTCTGTGACAGCAGCTCTTGACCTCAGGACACGTCTTCCTGGTCGATTTGCCGTCCCTCTGTGGTCTGGACCTCCCCTCCCAGGCCCATGTGACGTTCAGTTGCCATTGCAGCAGGGCTAGAGGTGGCCTCTAGGAGACCAAGGTCATGGGTAGACACAGGCCACCATCTTGAGTGGGCTGTCGATGGCAGGAGTGGGCTAATGGTGAAAGGGCGAGGTTGGCCAGCTTCTTCTCACCACTCCCCGCGCTCCCCGCCATGTGGCTGCCCTTGCGGCGCAGCAAGAGGTCTTGGCCACATTCCAGCCGTGCTCTTGGACTTATAGCCTCAGAACTGTAAGAAATAATCCTCCATTCTTTATAAATTACCATCTCAGGGATCCAGTGATGGCAGCAGGAAACGCACCCAGAGGCCTCCTTCTCAGCAGCACCGTCTTGAGCCTCAGGCAGGGCTGTGACTTCTGCCTGGATGGCTTTCCGTGACTCATGAAGCCCAGGAAAGGGCTAGTGGTGCCTGCATTTCCACTGAGCTGGGGCCTTGCTTTCTGTTGGAAGCGCGTCCTTCAGGCAGCCCTTAGTGGGGAGTCTGAGGGTGACAAATGCCTTTTGCTTTTCTCCTCCGAGGACGTTTTGATTTCCCCTCATTCCTAGAGGATAATTTTGCCAGATATAAACCCACAGTTGACAGTTCTTTTATCCTCCAGAACTTGAGAACTTTTGTACTACTTCTGGCCTCTGTGATTTCTAAATGAGGACTTGGCTGTCATCTGAATTCCTTTCCACTCTGAGGGACGCATCACTTCACTCTGGCTGCTTTCCAGAGTTTCTCTGAGTTTTTAGTCTTCAGAAGTTTAATTATGCTGTGTCTTAGGATGGGTTCATTTGAATTTTTCCTGTTTGAGCATTGGAACAGCTTCTTGAATCTACAGGTTTGTGCTTTTCAACAAATTTGGAAATTTTCAGCCATTATGTCTTTGAGTGCTCCTTTAATATACTTTACTTATTGTGTATTCTGGTACTGGGGATTGAACCCAGGGGCGCTTAACCACCGAGCCACATCCCCAGACCTCTTGGTTTTATTTTGAGACTGGGTCTTACTAAGTTACCTAGGGCTTCACTAAGTTGCTGAGGCTGGCCTTGAAGTCGAGATCCTCCTGCCTCAGCCTTGTGCTGCCTGTCCTTCTGGGATTGCAGTGAATGTGTGTGTGTGTGTGTGTGTGTGTGTGTGTGTGTGTGTGTGTGTGT